ACCCGTGTCCCCTGCATCGGCAGGTGGACTCTCAACCACTGCGCCACCAGGGAAGCCCAGTCTGTAGGTTTTGACAGAACTTTTTCATTACTCTTTCAGTTTTAAGTTTTTCATCTTCATTATGATTCCTTGTTGATCCTCGAGTTTAGAAGTGAGGCTAATTTCCAAATATGTTTTTTTAAGCTATCATTTTGCTGCTGAATTCTGCTGACTGCATTATGTCTGGAGAAAATGATCTGTATAGTACCAAACCTTTGGCTTAGATGGTCCAAGCTTTGCAGGCTGCCTGTATCCAGTGCAATTCCTATCATGGCTAGAAATTGTCAGTTTTTTATACTCATGTATTTTGAATCCATCAGTGTTCTGAATCTACAGTCTTCTAAACACTATTAAAAGGGGAGGGGTGGGACTTCCCTGGAGGTCCAGTGGTAAAGAATCCTCCTTACAATGCAGGGGACGCGGATTCGATCCCTGGTCAGGGAAGATCCCACATGCCGCGGGGCAACTAAGCCCGCGTATCACAACTACTGAGCTCGCGCACCCAAACTAGAGCCTGCGTGCCGCAAACCACAGAGCTCGCGTGCCACAACGAGAGAAAACCACACGCCACAACTAGAGAGGAGCCCGCGTGTCGCAACAAAAGATCCTGCGTGCCTCAATGAAGACTCAACGCAGCCACAAATAAGTAAATAAATAATCTTTAAAGAAAACGGGGGTGGGGGGGAGGACCACTTAATGAACCAAACTCCATCTCTTTGTTAAGATTCAATGAATTTAACGGAGATATTAGAAAGATGTCAGGCTAATGTCTGAACCCACATTTGAATCAAATTAAAGCTGTTAGTATCTGCGGTCTCTGTCCCCTCCGCCTCCCCCCTGCCCCTCCAACAACCTGAAGCTGCCAGCACACTGTGGCCCAGGTTACCTTTTGAAGACCGCGGTTTCTGTCTTGGCATCCACAGTGAGGCTCAGAGTTTCCTTCACGCCGCCATTCATCACTGTCTCAGTTACCTTGTCTGTACTTTCTGCATCCTCCTCTCCATCAGAGCTGGCTTCCATGGCCACGCTGCCTGGCGCTGAAAAGGACACACAACTGAACGTCACGAACACCTGTGCAGACCCAGCCACCCAACGTTACCTCTACTGCTTGAAGGAGGAGGAAAGTGACATGATCTGCCTGTTGCTGCCTCTTAGCGATGCCCACAGGAGAGAAGCTGCGTGGGTTCCCCGCAGCGTGGGACCGGTGAGTCCCCCTGTCTCCCCAGCTACCTGCACACCCAACTTTCTCCCAGTCAACTCTCCTGCCCCTCATGTTCTCCAATTCCCAGCGCAGGACGGGTGGTCGTATATTCTACAACCACAACCCACCAGAACCCAGTTCGTGGTTTATCCATGCACCCTTCTCCTCTCACTTGTCCCACACTTGGGTCCTATTCTTTTCTTTTTTTAAAGTTACCTTTCTGTGGTTCCCTGTGGATTATTTCTTTGTTCTATAAGAGGGAGCCATGGGGTACACTGGTTATGAGTGTGGGCTCTGAAGGGAGACTTCCTGAATTCATACCCAGCCTTCCCACCTACCACTCACCAGCCTCAGAGCCCAGGGCAGAGGACCCAACCTATGCTTGCGTTTTCTTATCCACAAAATGGGGGTACTTGAAGCCACCTGTAGAACCGCTGAGGGATAAACTAGGTCATCTATATACAGAATGTTTACAAAATACTAATTTCTGGGTTTATTAATTTCCTGCCCCTTGGGTCCTGTGCCCTCTACCTGTACTCTCATTTCCTTTCTAAGGACTGGCTTCTCTGTTCCCTCCACATACTATCCACGCCCACTCCTCGCCCCTTCACTAACCTCCATGCTCTCCCCCCACCTCCCACGCCCCTCATCAGGCTGAAAATAGTTCAGGGCCTATGCAAGGAACAAGTGCATGTTTTGAAAAAGATAGCTACTGGATACCCTTGACCATTTCACGTATTCACAAAGGTGGGAAGAAAATAAACCACCACAGAGCCTGAAATGTGCCCAGACATACACATATGCACCAAGAAAGCAAACTCCAAGGGACGAAAGAGCTGGGTGCAAGATGGGCTTGGAGCACACGTGACTAGTTCTGGTTTTATTCACCCTGGGTGCTGTAAGCTAGGCCATTCATCCTTTCTGGGCCTGTTTCCTTTCCTGTCTTGAGGGAACCGAATGACTGGTAACTTAGATCCCTTACTGTTCTAGGATCAGCAGGCTGTGGTTCTGGCAAACATACACAACTTCTTTTCCTCAATAGCCCTGCCCACATCAGACCCACCATCTCATTTTCCTGGGTCCTTGGAGCCCCTGAACTTTTAAAAAAACCTGCTTTGTGGACAAAGACAACTTTTCCAATCTAGAAAACTCAGCATAAAGTTACAGTGTGAACCACCACCAAAGGAGCGGCCCACAGGCTGTGCCCCGGCGCTCTCTGCACCCACCTTCCGGCTGCACTGCCAGCGCAGCCACACTGGGCGCCAGCGGGCCCACTGGCTCCGTGCTGGTCTCCATTTCCACTGGAGAACTGCTCCTTAAAGAGTCTTTTGTACTTTTAGAAGACAGAAAATTCAGAGGTTAGCAGTGGGAAACAGATATCAGTTATCATTATTCCCAAAAAACCTTTGAACACCAGTTCCAGTTCCACTGGGGAGACACAGCTGGTTATAGACTCCAATGAATGACACACAGATCTAAGCATGGACGGAGGCTTGGAGTAGCAGATGAGTGTGGGTGGGCCAATATTCTGCTAAATCAGCAGGGCAGTCACACAGGGACTTCTCAGAGGTATCTAGACAGTTTCAAAATGCCCCCAGCCCCTCATGGTCACATAATCAGCAGGCTCCCAGGGTGGGCACAGCAGTGCGTACACTGTACAATATGAACTGTATCTACAGTGCCATTTTTACAAAAATCCTTATCACCTCAAGCCAAACTGCCTAGAGGGCCTGGCCCTCCTAATGATATTTAATGAGAAAACACGGCCTGTGCACAAGGGCTTGTAAAGGTAAGCAAGATGCTCCAACAACATTCTCAAGTAACCAGAAAAGCAAGAGCTGGAAACCTGATTGTCCTGCACTGGAAGAGTCAGTGAAGTAATTCATCATATTTTGGAGATATTTTCCATAAATCTCACTTTTACCTCTGCATAACGGCTCGCTGCTATTATTAGAGGTGCTGTAAAGTCGCCTCTTTGGTTTGTCTGTAACAGTACCTGCTAGCTCATAACAGTCTGTCTTCGTATCTTTTCCATTACCAGTGACTGTTTAAAAACATCACTGGTTAGGATGGGGAAAGCAACGAAGTCTTTCAAATGGGGTGCTGGAGATTGATTGTTTTTCAGTAGATGAAATAAAATTTAATCAAATCAAAGTAAGTCTAACAAGACATTGAAGTCCATGGTTAATACTCAAATGCTGACAATATTATTCAGGAAAACTACAAAATGATAGGTTGCTGTTACTGAGAATTACAGTTAACAAGATTGACAGCCATACATGTCACACCCCTTAATTTACAGCACTAGACCAGCTACAAGCGAAATACAAGCTCGTATTATCTATTAAATTCAAGATATATTCTGCATTTTTCTGTAATATTCCACACTGAGGTGTCTGCCAGGAATTCTTTGGCTTCACCTCGTTCCCAAGCCTGTCCCGACACCTTCATCAGCACTGTGCTGACTGACTTGCTGGCCATATCTCCCCAGCCTACTTTGTTATCATCTACTCCTTTCCCAGTTCATCCTGGATGAAAGGAGGAGGAGGACTGTTCTTGTAACTCATAGCTGTGTCAATCCCTCCCCCTGCTGATGCTCTATCTTGTTTAAGGCACTATATTCAACTTGGAAGAAAATCAAGGTGACCAACAGTGTCAACAACACCCATGGCACCCTCGGTTCTCCTGTGGAAAGCTTTAGAGAGCTGGCGCACATGCTCACCTCAGGGAAGACGCGAACTCGGAAAAAGAAGCCCAGCCTGTCTCCTTAGTCGGCACTGGCTCCTCTGTGCTCCAGACGTCAGAGCCCACAGAGTCTAAGGGAGCACCGTGCGTTGTCTCCATGGGGACATCAAAGCTGGCTGACCAGCTGGGCGCTAAAAAGAGGGGAAGGATTTCATTTTGAGAACACCTCAGTAGTTTACTATAACACAAGTATTTTTCAAAAACAGATGTGCAATGACGAAAAGCCCACAGTTGTGGGCCAAGGGCACTCGAATACACCGTGGGGAGAAGCGGACATGGTACAGCCACTTGGAGGGCAGTTTGGTGACATCTACCCTATTATAAAACTGTGTGTTCCCTTTGATCCCTTGGCAATTCCTCTCTATGATTTTTTTTCCAATAGAGATTATCACACAAGAATACAAAGCCACACATAAAAGAACACGTCGATGTTAATTTTTTAATTTTGACAAATGTACCAAGGTTATATTAACATCGGGAGGAAGATGGGTGAAGGGTATACAGCCACTCCCTGACAACCTCTGCAACCTTTCTGTAAATCTAAAATTATTCCAAAATAAATAGTTTATTTTTTTTAAAGAAAAGCATGCCGGCTATTCAACTGCAGTAAACTGGAAACAACCTTAATGCTTCCCAGTCCACGCCCGGCCACGCTCCATACTCATGCTTTCCACGGCCGCCCTGCAGTCTACTACCATTAGCACAAACAGCAGCAAGGCTTCCTGTGACATAATAAGGAACATGTGTTTGGTCTCTGACCACCCACCCCCCCCAAACCCTTGGAACCTCTGAAGTGACAGACGGGTGCTGATGAGACGACTGGCGGCTGGGGGCTCCTGGACAGCCGCAGGGTGGGGGCCGGCGAGGGGCAACCAGGTGGCGAGAGGGTTGGAACTTTCAGACCTAGCCCACCACCCCTTCCCCCAACCTTCCGGAAGGGCAGAGGGGCTGGAAGTCAAGTTAATCACTAATGATCAATGACTTAATCGATCATGCCCACTTAACGAGGTCCCCATGACAACCCAAACTGCCGGACTTCAGAGCTTCCGGGGTGGCGACAGGGGGTGGCACATCACAAACTCCATGGAGATAGAAGCTCCTGTGCCTGGGGCCCTTCTGGGCCTTGTCCTATTTACTTCTTCATCTGGCTGTCCGTTTGTATCCTTTAAAACATCCTTTGTAATAAACTGGTAATAGTAGGTAAAGTGCTTCTCTGAATTCTATGAGCAGTTCTAGCAAATAATCAAACCCAAAGAGGTCACGGGAACTCCCTATTTATAGCCAGCTGGTCAGAAGTACTGGCTGGGACGGGGCAGCCATCTTGTGGGACTGAGCCCTTAACCTGTGTGGTCTGACTCTAAGCCCACGTAGTCAGTGCCTGAACTGAGCTGCACAGGACACTCAGCTGGTGTGGAGAAATGGTCTGTGTGGGAAACTCACACATTTGGTGTCAGAAGTGAAGTTTTGAAAGTAGAGAGGAGTTTTTTTCTTGTTGACTCTCTAGGTCCTGCAGGCACAGGAGTGCGTTCAGAGGTGGGAGTGGCGGGACTGCAGGGGCGCTGCTCCCTTTCTGTGCTGCTCCTCTCATGCTGCAGTTTGGGTCCAACCTGCCGGTCTCTGTTTAAATGTCGACACCTGAGATGTGTCCCTTCAGATGAAATCAGGTCTGTTTGTTTGCTCGCTCTCATCGCACACCATGCTTTCCTTCACAGTACTCAATGCTGAGTCCCCAAATCCTTGCTGGGACAAGCTGGGTGTGGGGACCACTGTTCTTTATCAGGGATGTTTCCTATCACAATTTGGAAGCTCCAGGCTGTAAGCAAGGAATGCTCGACTAGGGAATCTGCTAGCTATTTGGGGATTCTCCTCAAGACAAGTGACTGAGAAGTACCTATGTACAGCAGAAGTGCACCAATTTTACAGACACACCGCCTCACTGTGACTCTGGGCAAGTTATTTAACTCTCCTTAGCCTGGGTTTCCTCATTTGTTCAATTTGGATACGACCATCTGCTTAGTCCTGAGGGTTAAATGAGGGCCTGCTTCCTGCACTGCACTCTGTGTGTGTGCGGCTGGGCTCCACTGGCACCAAGAAGGGATGATACCTGAATGTCTGAAAACCTCACCTGCAACCTTAGAAGGGTCAACCTGACAGGCATTTTCCCCTGCCCACCATATGCAAAGTTCTAGACTCATTCCATCCAAGTCAAAGTTCCACTTCATAACTAAATTAGGCTACAAAAAAATGACTTTCCTGTTGTTGTTATCATTCTGGGATATTCTTTCCCAGATTAGCTCCCCAGAATTAGTCTAACATTAAAAACTCAACAGTCCCAAAAACCACTGAAAGAAGCCACAGAGATTGCTGGGGATGGCGGAGGCTCTCAAAGTCAGGGGGTGAGGCAGCTCAGAGCCCTAGGAGAGGAGCACCCCCCATTCCCCGGCCCCACCTCGACCCCTGTGGACCTGTCAGTGCAAAGGAAGCCCTTCCCAAGGAGCAGAGTCAGGAGGGCTGAGACCTGAAAGGCCGCACCCCATCGAGTAAGGGTGAATGGGACCTTTATCCGGGATGCTCCCCCTCCATCTCTCCCTATCCCCACACCCAGCTCCAGCGTCACCGTTGACAGTGGTAGTGAGTCATACCAAGTGTGTGGTCTCTCTCCAAGTCACTTATCACCCACCCAGTGACCTCAAAGAACCACAGACTCTGAAATATTATTCAGCCTTAAAAAAGAAGAAAATCCTGCCATACGCTCCAACATGGATGACCCTGGAGGGCATCATGCTAAGGGAAATACACCAGTCACAGAAGGACAAATACTCTGTGATTCCACTTAGATGAGGCCCCTAGAGGAGTCAAATTCACAGAGACAGAAGGTAGAATGGTGGCTGCCAGGGGCTGGGGCAGGGGGAATGGGGAGTGGTTGTTTAATGAGTACAGCTTCAGCCTTGCAAGACAAAAAAGTTCTAGAGGATCTACTGCACAATAACGTGAATATACTCAACACTACTGAACCGTACACGTGAACACACACACATTCTAGAGCTAAAAGATCAGGGTCTCCGGCCTGTCTCTTTCTCCCTGCTGCCTGGCCCCTGTCCTGATCAGCCCTCGCCATTTCTCACATGTAATGGTGAGTCTCTTGCTGGTTTTCCTGTCTCCAGTGTGCCCTTTCTAATCCAGCTCTCACGCTGCTGCCCACAGTGATCATCTCCAAACAGATCAAATACTGTAATTCTTAGTAAAACCCTCAGGAGGAGGATTACAGCCTTCAGGATAAAATTCTCCTCTGGCCTCTGGCCTCACCTCCACCACCTCACCCTTTTCCTGAGCTACATTAAACAGCTCTGCGCCTTCATATGAGTTGCCTTCTGTGCAAACTGACTGATCCCTACTTGTCCTTATTATGCATCCCATTCTCTGGGAGGTCTCTGCAGGTGCCTGGGGTGAGCCGGGCTCCCCCTGAGCTCCCCCGGCCCGCCGTCCTCATCACACTGCACGGCAAACCTCTCCATTTTGTCAGTAGGCTCTATGCTCCTGGCACACAGGAGGAACCTGATAAAGGCGTGCTGACGGGGACGGTATCACGTCCTCGTGAAGAAGGCGAGCTGGGAAAGGAGTGAGGGGACAGAGGATCTGTGCTTCCTCTCTGGCACTCCGTTTTCGGATCTGTAACACGTGGGATTTGCTGGATTACTGCTAAACTCTGAGGTTACGAGGAGGTTGAACCTGACCTCCAGAGCTGGGTTTCAGCCTCTGGAACTGAGTCATAAAGGCCTTCCTGGGTAACAGGAAGCCCTTTCAGCCTTGAGGAAAGCCCTAGCAGCAACCCGCATGGCTCTTGCACAAGAAAATTTGTCTGGACTCTTAGAAGTTAACAGTATTTTTATAAGGCCAGCTAACACAAGTCTTCTTAGCCAAGTCGCAAAACATAAATAAGCACTTAGCTGGACAAGTTTTAGGATTACAGGATTCATAAATAAACCGTGGAGAACCCATTTAAAACTGTTCGAGCTTTAAGGTGTTTCCTCTGGTTTAACTGCACTCCTGATTCTACAGATCAGTCTTTCCTCATCTTTCCAGAATCTGCGGCCTTTCCCCTTTTGCTCTGGTACCCAGTCTCTGTAGCCAGAGGACGGACCTACCAGTGTGCTCTATCCTCTAGCCAGACTCACACAGAAGGTTTCCAAACCATAAAGAGATGCTCTCCCATCAAAGGTGTAACTTGCTCCTTCCCTTAGGCCCGGTCCTCGAGTCTTAAACCTTCAAGGGGACTCAAATGACAACACGTGCTTCAACTTAACTATTCCTTCAAAAGACATCTCAGATACTGCAGGCCATCTCCAACACACAGCGGCTGATACGGAAGAAGGCAACTTACGTTCATTCAGGTCTACCTCCATTTTATCCTCTGTGTTGGCGCTGCTGGACTCAAACAAGTCTTGTTTTGCTCCATCTTCTTCTTCAGAGTCTGTACTTTCCTCACTGTCTGTACTCCCCGAGCTAAGGAAAAAAGGACCAAAATATTTAATGTTGCCTGTCAGCCACTAACTAAATCCAAAGAATTCAAAAGTCCTCCAACAACGAAAAGATCGTACTGCACTTCACCTGGATCCAATCTGCCCGTCATTCTGTTAAGACTGATCCTACTCTGGGTCCCCCGCTGTTCTACCACTTGGGCTTTGCTTGAAGCCACAGATCATAATCTAAACAACTGCATTGTTTGGAGGGTGCGTGGAGGTGCCCCCTGGTGGCGTGAATCTGCATTTCCCTAATTACCAAGGATGCTGAGCTTCTTCTCAAGTGCTCATCTTCTTTCCCAAGTGTTCTTTTCACATCTTTAGCCTATTTTAAAAATTGGGTTGTCTTTATTACTATAGTTACGAGAGTTCTTTATATGCTCTACACAGAAGTCTTTTATCAGATATATGATTTCCATATGTTTTCTCTTAGTGTATGCTTTGTCTTTTCATTCTCTTAAGTGTCTTTTGAAGAATAGATGTGCTTAATTTTGATAAAGTTTAACTTATCAAAATTTTCTTTCATGTATAGCACTTTTGGTGTTGTACCTTAGAAATCTTTGCCTAACCCAAGGTCACAAAGATTTTCCAGTATTAAGTTTTCTGGTTTTATGTCTTACATTTAGGCCTAAGATCCATTTTGGGTTAATGTGTATATACAGTAAGAGGTATGGACTAAGTTCATTTTTTTACATATAGATGTCCAACTGTTCCAGCACTATGTCTTCAAAAGACTATCCTTTTTCCACTGATCTGCTTTTGCACCTCCACCATAAATCAGATGTCTACATATGTGTGTAGGTCTACTTACGGGCTCTCTATTCTGTCCCCCTGATCTATTCCCTGTCTTAATTACTGTACCCTGAAGTCAGATAGTGTTAATACCCTAATGCTGTTCTTAATGAAAGTTGTTTTGGTTATTCTAGGTCCTTTGCGTTTTCATATGAATTTAAAAATCAACTTGTCAATAGCTACCAAAAAAACCTGTTATGATTTTGTTTGGGACTGCACTGAATCTAGATCAATCTGGGGAGAACTGGCATCTTAACAATATTAAGTCTTCCAATTCTTAAACATTTATCAAGTCTTGATTTCTCTCAGCTGTTCTATAATTTTCAGTGTATGGCCCTTGCACATCTTTTGTCAGATTTACCCCTATATATTTAATATTTTGATGCTACTGTGACTAGTACTGTTTAGTAATTTTAATTCTAATTAATTAGCTGGCTGCAGTATGTAAAAATACAATTATATTGATCCAAGATTGTGCAATCTTGCTAAACCCACTTAACTGTTCTAGTAGTCTTTTCGTAGATTACAACACATTTTCTACATAGATAGTAACATTGTCTATGAACAAAGGTAATTTTACCTTTTCCTTTCCAATCTAGAAACCATTTATTTCTTTTTCTTGACTTACTGCACTGGCTAGAACCTCCAGCACAGTATTGAAAAGCAGTGGTTAAGAACAGATATCCTTGTTTTGTTCCTGACCTTGGGGGGAAATCATTCAACCTTTTACCATCAAGTATGATGCTCACTGTAGGCTGACTGGAGAAGCCTTCAACAAGCTGAGGAAATGCTCTTCTATCTCCAGTTTGCTGAGCATTCCTATCAGGAACAGATGCTGGATTCAGCCACATGCCTTTTGACTGATTTTCAAATGTTAAACCAACTCTGCATTGCTGGAATAAACCTTGCATGGTCATGACGTATCGTTGCATTTATTTGCTAAAATTTTTAAAGGAGTTTCTGTACCTATGTTCATGAGAATAATAGGTCACTTTTCATATCATGTAATGCAATGCCAGCTTTTGGTATCAAGTTACAATGATGTGGCTTCATAGCATGAGATGGGTACTATTCCCTCCTTTTGAATTTTCTGGAAGCTTTTGTACAAACTGGTGTAATTTCTTCCTGAAATGTTTGGTAGAACTCACCAAAGAGAAACCATCTGGACCTTGAGTTTTTTTGTGTGTATGTGGGAAGTTTTATACTAAAAATTCAACTTCTTTGATATAGGACAACTCGGGTTATCGTTTTTTGCTTGAGATTTGGTAGTCTGTGTCTTTCAAAGATCATCTGTCAGATTTATTGGCATAGAGTTGCTAATATTCCTTATTATCCTTTTAGTATCTGTAGAATCTGCAGTGATGTCATCTCTCTTGTTCCTGATATTAATAATGTGTATCTTCTCTTTGTTCCTTGACCATTCTGTCTAGAGGTGTATCAGTTTTATAAATCTTCTCAAAGAACAACTTTCAGTCATGACTCATTGGTTACAATGATTTTCCCTACTGTTTTTCTGTTTTGTATTTCTAGTCATTTCTTAAGGTGGAAGTTGAGGTCACTGATTTGAGATGTTTCTTCTTTTTTAATGTAAGCAGTTAGTGCTAAAAATGATCCTTTAAGTACTGTTGCAGTTGCAAGGTCCAAATCCTGATACACTGTATTTTCATTTTCTTTCAATTCAAAGTACTGTGCAACTTCCCCTGTGATTTTTTAAATGTTTCTTTTTGGTTAAGATTGACTGATTGATTATTTATTCATTTATTTAATTTATTTATTTTTGCCTGCATTGGGTCTTAGTTGCAGCACATGGGATATTCGTTGAGGTATGCAGGCTCTTTGCTGCAGCATGTGGGCTTCTCTCTAGTTGTGGTGTGCAGGCTCCAGGGCACGTGGGCTCTGTTGTTGTGGCGTGTGGGGTTCCAGAACACATGGGCTCTGTAGTTTGCGGTAGGCAGGCTCTCTAGCTGAGGTGCACGAGCTCGGTAGGTGTGGCGCACAGGCTTAGTTGCCCCATGGCACGTGGGATCTTAGTTTCCTGACCAGGGATCGAACCCGCATCCCCTGCATTGTAAAGCAGATTCTTTACCACTGGACCACCAGGGAAGTCCCTCCCCTATGATTTTTTTTCCTTAACTCACGTGTTATTTGTTTCCACATATCTGGAGATTTTCTAGAGATCTGTTACTGACTTCTAATTTAATTCCATTGGGGTCAGACAGTGTATTTTGTATGACTTGAAACCGTTTTACTGAGACTTGCTTTTATGGCCCAAATATGATCTCTCTTGGTAAATATTTCATGTATACTTGAATATATTTACTGGGAGAGGCGTACTGAAATATCTGAATATAATTGTGGAATCTGCCTACTTCTTTTCACAGTTCTATCAGTTTTTGCTCTATTTTGAAGCCCTGTTATTAGGTATGTAGACATTTACAATTGGCATTATGTCCTTCTAATAACCCCTTTATGACCTTTCCTTTATCCTTTGCCTTTGAAATCTACTTTAATATTAATATAGATCCCTCTACCTTTAATTTTAACCTGTTTAAAGTTTTTTTAATTTAAGTTTTTAAATAATTTATTTCCCATCGGCAGCATAAATCAGGTTTTTTTTTTTTTTTTGGC